TACATTTACGGGCTTTTCTCACTTGTGTGTGAACGTTAAATGCGCTTGATCCATATCATCATATGAGTGATTTAGTCAAAGCCAATCCAAACTTCACCACACAGTGATTCATCTATGACAGTGGCTTAACACCGTACATCACTGGATCATTTTCAGTTGATTGTACAGAAAAATCAAGTCAGGAGTGTTACCTATAACTTGTAGAATTCAAAGATATCACCGTGTTAGTTTGTAGAATCAGCATGTAGAGAGATCTTGTAGCACCTTTGAGACTAACTGAAAGAAAGAAGTTGGCAGCATGAGCCTTAGTAGGCTTAACGAAGGACGTAGACTTTAGTCTGTGAAACCTCATGCTACCAACTTCTTTCTTTCAGTTAGTCTCAAAGGTGCTACAAGACCAACAACTTGTGTTGGGTTATTCTCCAAAGATGCTACCATATGCCTCTGCGTGCAGATATAGATTTCAGTAATCATGTCTTTGCATATCTCAGCAAGACCCTCAAAACTGTGGACTTCCCAGATTCTCAAAAAATCTGCTCAGGGAGCCTTTTATGAAGCAGAGTAGAAAGTCTACCAACATCATTTTGGTTCCTTTTATCTGATACAAGACCTTACCTCCAGCTCTTTTGGGCACTGCTTTCCTGGTGGAAAAAACCCTGAATGTGTATAGATGACTACAACACCTTTGCCTCAGTTCTCTCACTGGGAATGGTGCTGCATTAAGTATCTCAACAGGGTATGGTCATATTTGGCCCACCCAACACTTGAAGGAAAACATAATATAAATGACAGCAAAATGAACTAGGCTACACTAGTCTTAAAGTTGAACTGCTGCAAATGGAACAAAGCAAAAATAGCAACAATCCCAATATGAGAAGCAAGGTGGCAACAATCCAAGAGCCATTTAAAATAAGCTGCTGGAGCTCTCAAGGTGGGAAGGGCCAGAGAAGAGCCAATACTACAAAGGCCTTGTTCCCACTATGATTTAAAGCAAACTGCACATTGGGTTATATGACTATCATTCCCACTTGAAACTGGCTCTGATCCTATTGAGCTTGGTTGCAATCGTGATGAAGCGAGGCAAACGCAAAAAAAACAACGCTGTTTCCTGACACTAGTTCTTTGGTGGTTCTTTTGAAAAGAATCGATTCCGAAGCATGTTCAACAATTGGGAACTACAGATCTGAATTGGATCATTCTGGAGGGGAGGGACTAATGGCAGAGG